TCATCCCTCTTGCATGGGAGAAAATCTCCCATCAAAGGGCTCTGCCGTAGAAATGCCAGCAGGTTCCATCATGGATGTGACATTAACAAGATAGCCGTGCTGTGGTGGCACTGAGCTGTGGTATTTCACCTCTTGGAGGTTTCCTTTGCGTGCAGCACCTCAAAGCGCTTCTTCCTGCTAAGTTGTAACAGTCCCAGTCTCTTTTTGGCATCAATAGTAAGCAGGAAGTCAGTTATACAGACTCGGAAAAACTCCTTGTTTTTTGACAACTCCTTGTTTTTGTTTTCCTAATTCTTCATCTGAGAGGACCTCCCAATACCTTTTGCAGTTGCAGGGGATGTTCAAGAGGTCACTTCTTGTCAGAACAAGGTCCGGATGTCCCACCTCTGCTCTTGAGAGATTCCTGTGCTGCTCAAGCAGACATGGGTGCAGGATCTGAGTGCTCTTCTGGTGGAGGCACCTCCTCTAGGCCCTCTGGGCCGCCATCAGCCCTTTCAGGGGAGCTGCAGCTCGGCTGCTGCCCCTTGTCCCCAAGGGAGGGAGCTGCCGGTGTGGGCGCTGACTGTGGCTCTTGGGCCGAGGTGCCGCTGCGTGGGTGGCTGGCTGGCAGCTGGGGAACAGCAGAGCCCTCACGTGGCTCCTGCTTCTGCTCCTCAAGGTGCACATGCCCACTGTCACCTGCTGGGCCTGAGCCTGTCTGCTCCATGTGGCAGGCAACCCACTTGGCCTTTGGGAGGGTCTTAATAAGTAGAAATGTTAAGAAAAAACAGTAGTTATCCTTTAAAGAAGAGAGTGTGAAGTCAAGATGTTCGAGCTTCGGGAGTCAACAGTTTAGAAGCACTCGCCTCGTCCCAGTGCTGCCAGGATGCTGTATCTTCCAGAGCAAACACTCTGGTAGTGCTCTGGCTGCAGGGGCCCAGGAGGGCTTTGGCCCCTGGATGTCATAATCACAGAGGCACTGGTGCGGTGGCTTTGTGACATGCCATCCCTGAGGAGTAGCATGTCCAGTGGAATGGAGGTTGCTACCAGCCCCAGGAAGTGCTTTGGGCCTCTATCGATTTGCAACACCAGCTCTCTGCTCTGTTTTGTTTCCAAAGGTCAGTCCTCTTCTCTCTCCTCTAGCCCCACTGAAGGGCTAAAAGTCACATCTGGCAATTTCTAAGGGACTGTGGGTAGTTTAACCATTATCTTCTAGGCAAGGCATTTCATTGACTGAAATAAATTCTATATCAAACCCATAGCTTCCAGTTAGAGAGAAAACATCCTGGGTATGAAAGAGGCACTGCCTCCTTCTTGGAAGCCACACAGACACCTCAGCGTGTGCAGTGGAAGGAGAATAGGATTGAAGCAGAGGAAAGCTCCTCCTCTTCACCTATGCTCTTGCTAAAATAGGACACAAGAGCTGGGAAAATGCAGTTGAATTCCACTTGGGTCTTGCCAGTAATGCTGGAGTTCCTGCTGTCATTACTCCATCAGTTACTTACTAGAGTTATGGCTGTGGTTACATATACGTCAAGAAAGATTAAAGTCAGTGCAGGTTTCTGAGCCTCATACATTCCCTTTGCTCTTTTTAGGCACTAATTACAGACAAAGGAGTAAAAGGAAGGCTGACTGAGGTCTTAGCATGTGCAAGTCTTTCAGTTCAGACCCAAATAAAATCCATACCCCCAGTTTGGTGCAATAGTATCTGTGCAGTGTGTCAGTGTGTCCTTCTGGTTGTCCTCTGGGTAAGGGATACCGGCTCACTGTGCAACAGGATCATCCAGCCTTATTGAATGGCCGACAGCTGGGCAACAAAGTGCTTCTGAAATATTCCTGGAGGTCATTTTCAAACCAGTGCAACTTAGTTCTTTTGGTTTCTCCTTGCAGTCATGAAAAATTTGTCCTCCTTGGGTTAGTGTTGGGGAAGGAGTCTTGGAGATCTCCTTGTTCCTCTTAAAATAGCTGGAGGAAGGAGGCTTTATCACTTTGGAGTAGAGAGAGGACTAAAATTGCTCTTAGGAGCCTAGGGTGCAGGCTCAAGGGAGAGTGTTTTCTGTCACTACGAGGCAGCATGAGGTATGGAAGGAACAATGTTGATATTGTATATTAATGCATGAGAGCTAGAAACGAAAACAGACCAACACTGGCTGCTCCCAGCTCTCACCGAACAGGGCTGCTGTGCATCTGAGCACAGCATCATCTCTCTCATTAGAAAATGGAAGTGAAAGTGGGAAAGTACAAGCAAGATCATAGTTTCAAAGATGACTTGATCCAATTGCATGTATCTATATTTTAAGGGGTCTCTGCATGGGGGCAAGCTGCATCGCTGCTCATACCCCCAATCAAAGTGAATCTGTGTTGTCTTTGATGCAAGGGCACATGCAAACCTACATGATAAATCGCTAGCTGAGATGGGCCCCGAAACCAAGTCTCCAGCTACATGCTGCATGGTCCAGTTTGCTCTGGGGTCTGTAGGTGAAATCTGGATATGTCCCATCTTTGCTGGTAGTTGCCTTCCTTTCAGAAGATAGGGACAAAGTGCCAATATTTTGGTAGGAGCACTTTAAAAGCCAAAGAGATGTAGTGTTTAGTCTGTGCAGAGAGTTCAGGTTTGAGGTGCTGAGACAGACAGGCTTGAGACTGAAGGTGGAGGGAAAATATCTGAATATTTGGGAAAAAAAAAAAACAGGAAGGGGAAAATCATCCTTAAATTGAGAAAATCCTAGGAAGGTTAAAACCATCAATGAATGTCGCAGTAACGTTGCATGGACAGAATCGCTTTCGGTCTCCCTCCTGCTGGGAATAACCTTGTCCTGCCTGCAAAATCTTTGTCTGAAGGGGAGGAGAAAAAAAGGAAAGCAAATGGAGAGGGCATTGTCTTCCTGCTGGCAATTGGACCGAGAGATTTAGGCAAAGTGAGAGCAGAATGGTGCCATCTCCATGCTGCACTGAAAGCTGCTTTCCTGCTGTCAGCAGAAAAATGGCTAGTGGCATGGGAACAAGGAAGAGGCCTTGCCCTGCCTGACCTGCCCAAGCTTGCTGCCTGAAATAAAGCTCTAAGACTGCAGCATAAAGAGGCTTCAAATTTAGTTCTTTTCACTATTTTAAGCTCTTTTTTGGATGGTATTTCCAGTGCCTTGATCAATATTGGCTGTAACAGCCATGTTCAGAACTGGAATGGATGTATCCTTCTCAGGCTCTAGTGCTGTCTCTGAGCCTGGCCTCTGCCTGGGTGACTTGTATCCTGCCCTCTTATCCAAACTGCTGCCAAGCAGCTGGTGCCCTTCCTGGCTGAAAAGTTCAGAGGTGTGAGGAGGAAGCCTGAATTACTGATGCCAGTTTCCTTCTGCACGCCTGGTCCAGCCCAGTCAGACACCACAAGTGGGCAGGCTGGCCAGGAGGCTGGGACAGATTGTGACCACTTGGAAACAAGGCCCGGGAGAATTAATATGTTATTATATACCAATCATTACCAAATCTTTAATAACAAAGCCCACAAGAGTGTCTGTGCTATATGAGGAAGAACTTCTTTAGTGTACAGGTGATAGAGCTCTGTACAGCTCTGTCAGCTGTGTAGGAACAGCTGTCCACAGAGGCTGTGGAGTCTCCTTCTCTGCAGATCTTCAAAATCCACCTGGATGCTACCCTGTGCCACGTGCTCTAGGTGATCCTGCTTGAGCAGGGGGGTTAGACTAGATGATCTCTAAAGGTATTACAGAATCACAGAATCACAGAATCGTTAAGGCTGGAAGGGACCTCAAGAGATATCCAGTTCAAGCCCCCTGCACACACAGGGTCACCTAGAGCTCGTAGCACAGGACTGCGTCCAAGCGGGTTTGGATGATCTCCAGAGAAGGAGACTCCACAACCTCTCTGGGCAGCCTGTTCCAGTGCTCTGTCACCTCCTCACTGTTAAAAAAAATTTCCTTAAGTTCCTGTGGAACTTTTGGTGCTTCAGTTTGTGGCCATTTCCTCTAGTTCTGTTGGTGGCCACCACTGAAAAGAGGCCAGCCCCATCCTCCTCACTGCCTCCCTTGAGGTACTTATAGACACTGCTCAGGTCCCCTCATGTTTAGGAGAATAATTAAAGGGTGAACAAAGTTAAATATTTGCTGAGAGTTCTGTAATAGTTTTGATAATTTTCTCGCCTGGAATGTGTTGTAGAAGAAGGGGTTTATAGGCCTTAGAACTCCTTTGCAATTTAAAAAGAATTCTGAAGTGAAAGAAAGAACCTCACTGCTGGTTCAGTGGGTTGATCTACCAAATTTCCAGAAAAAAAATAGGTTAACGCTTGACAATGTAACTTTCAACACAAAAGCCTTTATGTGATTCTGTGATATATAGCTATTTATGTAGGTACACACATATATATGCATCTTTTCCTGAACACACGTGTGTACATACACACAAATATGCTCCAAATTTATGTTTTCACCTGTTTAGAAGTATCTTTGCTTTCTCTTTAATATTAAGATGCAGTTCCCCAAGTGAAAAAAATGGAGAAGGGAAGGACTGGATATATTTTCCGAATCTTCTAGATGTTTTAGATGTTTTACTTTGCAGATGAAAGTGTCACTTTAAATGTATGAACTGAAGACACATGTCACCATCACACATGGTTCCGAACTTGTAAAGAGGAGCAACTGCACCTTTTTCTCTTCTTTCTTTGCTTTAATACTCTAGGACAGGAGCTCATAGCAAATTCTTATTTGCAAGACTTACAACATAAGCAAATATTTTGATTTTAAAATGACCAAAACATGTTGCACGATTAGCAATCCAAACCAGTACTTCAAATTGTTCAGCAACTCTGCCCAGCAGTTTAGGACAGATTCACTGTAACTGTACGAAATGCCATGTGCAGTTGCTGAGATTTACTTTGGTCAGGCCACCCTGCTAAAACACCTGTGCAGGTCTGGTCCCTTTGCACAGTGCTGCACAGTGCTACATAAACACAACCCTGTGTAGACAAGATTCATTAGATGCAAGCATGATTTTGAAACTGATGCATTGCTTACAGTTGTGACAAGTGGCGCCACTGTATCCGGTTCCATCACAAGTGCACTTGAAGCTGTCCCACGTCTGAGTGCATTTGCCACCGTGTTCGCAGTGATTGGGCATGCACCTGTCAGGATGAGATGCAAAGACAGAGAGAAAAACGCAAATAAGCAACAAGATTTACACAGGGCCAAACTGTGAGCTGCCCAAGCGGTATATCATGTCCTTGCCTGGTAATTAATCTTTGCTATTTTAGGCAGGTTAGTAGAATTTATACCAGAATGCCCAACTGCACAAAAGATGATTCATCAAGGCTCTGCTGCAGCCCCTTTACAAATAATAAAACAGGACAAGAAGGGTGGAATACATCCACCTATCATAAATTAAGTTTTTAAGCTACGTATGACTTGTTCTTATCTGTCAAAACCAAAAGAACATCACAAGTCATCCCTCCTTTTGTTGTGTAGGTGGCCTCATGCCTCATGGGCTCCAATCCCACCTGTGACTCAAGAAGAAGGACTGAATGCCAGCCGGCTCCTATTTGTCCTTTTGCAGAGGCATGTTGCCTGCAGGTTAGCATGGCAATTACTAATACTGCATTATTAAAAATAGCAAGATGCTATAGGCTTCAGTATAAAAGCTCTAGTAGGTTTTTCTTCACAGAGATTTGCTTTCACCCCACACTGTTGCTGAAAAGTTAGAAAAAATGAACAGCAAAAAGCAAAGTTATAACCGAACAAACATTTATTGTTTGATATATCATCTAAATGTGATTTCAAGGATTTGAGTTTGACCAGTTTCTTTTCTATCTAAGATTGTCAAAAATAGGAATTACCATCTATCTTCACCTTTGAAACTATTATATTTCCTTTCTTGAAGAGCGGCTTTGAAATCTTATTTCAAAGAACCTGTTTTTCCTCTTTATTAAATTGGTTATAGTCAGACTCAGTAAAGGCTCTGCATTTTTGATCAAGAGCTAAAGGAATTTTCCTTTCATGTTGAGCTGGCCAAATGCAATTTATAAAATTATAAATTTTTATTATTACATTCAAAATAAAGATGAGGAGACCACCTATTAGAGAAACAAATTAAAATACTTTTGGAAATGCATTACAAATTAAGTATTTGTATCTCTTCATGTTCAAATTGATGATTGATAGACTCTCAACTATGATAAAGAAACTCTGGCATGATATGTGTTAAGATACTTGCATATTGTGTATTGAAAGACTGTTTTTTACACATGCCAGAAAAAACACCTCATATATATATACACACAACATAGATGGCTTGTATATCAGACTGCCATATTCAAGAGGGGGTAGCCATTCAATAACTTCTTTAAAAAAAAGTTCAGAAAATACTGGGATTGTTTAAAATAATGCTTAAGGAAATGCTCTTCTAAAAGAAGAAAGCATTTTTTTTTTATTTTCACATTAAAAATAGAGCAACACTGAGGCAGTTATCACCAGTTCAACAACTTATGGTTTAAACGTGGTTCAAGTGAGTTCATTTAGCTTTGTTATTGTGGTGGCTTAAACGCACAGCTAGATTTGATTACTGCAGTTCAACGGATAGCCCATGAATTTCTGCTGTGTTCCGAGCTCCATAGAAGAATAAAACAGAAACATATAATGGAGTATTTCTAAACTTACGAATCACTAACAATTTCTATGAATCCATTGATGGTGGGTACAAAATTAAGGAAAGCAGACAGCAGTGACACTTCAGAAACAGTCTCATTAATTTTCATTCAAAGATATAAACATCTAGAAAAGTTCATAAATTCGAATATGGTTTCTTGTCTTTTCCAGCCTTTCAAAAACACTGTTTTCAATGTATTTCCTTCTTTATTTACATTTGAATATGTATCACTTTAGAAGTATTTTTCCAGTGACCAAACAAAACATTTTTCTATATGTTTTGTCCAGATTTTTATAAGAAGTCTCAGTAGTAATGCCAGCAACTTGTTTCACATTTTAGTACTATATAACTTACTTTAATGCTAGTAAAAAGATAAACGGTAGTATAAAAGATATTGCTGTATTAACTGTCTAACTGGTGTAACTGACTTAATGTAGGGAAATATGAAAAACAAATATTTATCTGTAACATTTAGTGGAGCATATTAAGTCCAAAAGACAGAAATATTCAACAAACTCCTTGATGTTTATTTTATACTTCCAGTAAGATGGCCGAAATAACTTTTTTTTCTTAAATCATCAGTTTTTCCCAGTACTAAAGATGATGATGTTAAAGACAAAAAGTAAATAACCCTTAAATGACCCTTATTGGTCAAATCTTTGGACATCCCATCCTCGTTGCATTTGGGACTACTGGAAATTTTGTTAAGCAGGATTCAAAAAATACAGAAAAAAAACCCCATAATCTTTGGCATTCAGTAGAGATGTCAAGAGGAATACAATTTCAAACTGTAAATCCCATTATCTTTCAAATACTTTTCTTGCCATAGATGGATGTTATTTCACTGCTAAGTGAAGATAAGCTAAAGTAAAGTAAGATAAGCTAAAAAGTACCTCGCCCATGTATTTTACTGTAAAACTTGCTGAGATATTTTTATTTTTGAAATTATTTGAACATATGCTATTAGGAATCTTATCCAACTTATCCATACTATTTATAAGATACTCAAAACCAATTCATGCTCATTCATTTCATTTCATTTACGCTGAAAGTATGTTTGTAGGCAATCCCATCCTTTAATCTCCTTTTAGGAATGAGAGTATATTTCAATTAAAAATAAACTTGACCAAGAAGGCCAACAGCTAAGGCCCTGTAAGCATGCGGAAGGTTCAACATTTCCTCTGAGACTTTATGCACACAGATCCAGCACCACTACCAAGTTTCTCCCCAGCCCTAAACTGCTAAAAAAGAAAACTGGGGATAGGATACTCATGCAGCTATAGCAAATACCTTTTTTTTTTTTTTTTTATCCAAAGGCATCTCTGGAGCAAACACTGTGGACCTGACACATTATCATACTGGGTCTTACTGCTCTCACGTGCTATCTTTATTAAGGGACTTTTCCCCATTACGTGAGTGGATAAACAAATGTATGGCAGATGACAGGAAATGGTCTGTCCTAAAGAAATAAAGCAACAAGAAGCAGAATGCTATATCTGGCTTTAGTGTTGTGCCAAAGGATGGAGAGCTACCTGTGCCAGAGGAACCGGGACTGATACGAGGTGTTCCTTTTGTGAGGGATATCCAATTGGGGGAGGGCATGCTCTTGAGCACTGGAGATTTATAAATAGAAAATATTATGAGAAATGAGACTGAAAAAAAAATAAAGTACAGCTGAGACATGTGGAAAGTCCTACACTGAAGCATGAAGAATTAACTAACTGAATGAATAAATAAACTTAAGAAAAGCTAGTTTGACTGTGATTCTGCATCTGGAGGCTTCCACATTCTAAGTCACCTCATCATCCTATTGCCAACAACAGCAAGAACAAAAGAAGCAATAGGAAGAAAATGAATGCCATAATGTAGGTATAAACAGGAGAGTCTTATGTAAGACCCATGAACAAATCTGAGGTTATATTCAGCACGAGTGAGCACTGGCTGCTTTTCAAACCAATGCTGGCAGGAAAGAGGAGCAATAAAACTGTTCTGAATGACCATGGGGATGGGCAAAGAAGCAGTGAGGTTTATTTGCAGTAAGAGGTATTGTAAGAATAAGGCAGAATTACACATCAGGTAGCTTTGAAGTATTTGGTCCTGCCTCAAAGCAGGAGAGTGGCCTTAGAAATCTCTCCAGATTCCTTTCTGATACAAATATTTTCATATCCCATAGGAAACAAAAAAGCATTTCTTCCTAGCTCCTAATTTCTCATTATGTTGCTGTATTTAGTTTTCCAACTGTGCTATTTAACCTTTGCAAATCATCAAATTTTGGTCACTCTCTCAGTCTTTTCAGAGGAAACTCTCTCCCAGGGCAAGGATATTTAACACATTAACTAGCTCCCCCAGGCAAGCTGTGTTCAAGGTGTGCAGCAATTGACTCCAATTCTCAGCTTCGAGTTTACTTGAACAGGAAGAGAAAAAGTTATTCTGTGCAGGAAGCAAAATGTCCTGGTGGTTGCAAATACATTGTAGACAAAGTCCCTCAGGACTGAAGAACCAGCATGAATGTCACTATTCTTAACCACAGGACAGAGACCTTTCCCTCTTTTCCTATTCCTTTCCTTTCCTGCTTTCCTTCTCCAGAATAGCTGTACATAAGTATATATATGTAATTTAGTATATAAATAAACTAAACCAACAAACTAAAAAAAAGGCTACCAAAATATATATTCCAACTGCAAAGCTATTTCTGCACCTGAGAAGACAAAAGGAAGGAATGAACTACACATGAGAGAGGTCTGTCAAATAACACTTAATGAACTACTGAAATGAACTCCAGTGTTGTAATGATGAGGTCAGTATAAGAACTTATGCAAAGCAGAACAAAATGTTAAAAGCTTTTTTTTTTCTTTTTTTTTTCCTCCTGTGGAAGAGAGGAAAACAACCTGGGATGAATTGCTTTTAACAGGAAATTCTTTTTTTTTTTTCCTTCTCATCATCAAATCCCTATCTGTCTAAACTTGCTTCTGCTGATACCTCATCTTATATTTTCTCTTGCTCTATCTCCTCCCAATTCTTTTTGTCCTGTCTTTTTTCCCCCATTCTCTGCCTCAGAACTAACAATCTCATGAGTACATTTTGAAAGACTTTACAGTATTTTTTTCCACTAGCTGCTCTTTTTACCTCCTCCAGATATCTTTTTAGAACCTATACTTTTTACTACAGTTTTTTGCATAGATCCTTCAAAATGCATAATGCTGTCCTTGTTGAGCATCATTTTTCTCTCTGCCACTTATGTAAACCTTCACACCCATGCAAAGACTGTGAAAATGAGTTCAAAATTTAATCCTTTTTTTCCCTGTATACAGGAAAAAAGGGTTACCAGAAAAAAAGAAGACAGTGAGCGATCAGATCTCTCTCTACATATATGTATATGATATATATACGCATAGATACATATATATATATAGAGAGAGAGAGAAAAGACAATTCGTAAGAGCATTCAGAAATCCTTTCAACTTATAAATCACCATTTATAAA